TTTTTTTGTTTTAGTATTTTGAAGTTGACCAATTGTTACTATAAGCAATTAATGATTATAGATGATCTGCACCGTAGTCGAAAAATCATCTGCAACGATCCCACCTCTAGGGTAAGGATGGCTGTGACCAAGTTGCAACTCTGCTGATGAATATTAAGAGAATCTGCAGCTTGTTCAAGCACAGGAGGTCACAATCCAGAGCAGGGTTTGCGGCCCTGAAATTACATTTGTACTCTGAGGAAAGTTGTTTGTTTTGTATAATCATTTTCATAAATGCTCTGTTTCTCTGATACTAACCAATTTATAATTTTGGGTAGGGGACTGAATGGGGTTTTTGCCCAATCAGTCCCCTGTCCTGTAGGTTAAAATTATCACATGATTATATACATCTTTGTCAGCAATAGGGATGGGGCGGTTCGGTTCGGTTCGGTTCTGGTTCCATGGAACCGGTTACAATAGAACCGAACCATTCGAACCGGTTCCAAAATAAATGTAACACAAAATATTATTGCCAAAACTAATTTTCTTTGAAAATTTTCACTACATATAAAATTTTCTTTGAAGGTATTACTTCCTAATATGAAAACAGTTTATGAGATACTATCTAGTCATTGTCCATATTAATATTTAATGTTGGCGATTATTTTTGTTTTGCCAATCACTAAATTGACCAATAGGAATGAAGGAAGGCAAATGAAAATGACAAAAACGGATATTAAAATATCCTGATATGGTGAAGTGGTTTTGACCTCAAATAAATTTAATTATTTAATATTAACAGATGGTCTTTTGGCGAATTGCAAATGATTTTTTTTGAATTGTATAAAAAAATGGACCTTTGGCGAATTGCAAAAAAGGCTTTTGACACAAATCATTTTAAATTTTAAAAAAATGGACTTTTGGCGTGAATTGTAAAAAGAGTTGTAAAAAATGGTCTGTAAAAGAAGTCTTAACATTATCCTAATAAATTATTTAAATTGTAAAAAATAGACTTATGGCGTGAATTTAAAAAATGATCTTTTGGCGAATTGTAAAAAAAGACTTTTGACATTATCCTAATAAATCATTTAAATTGTAAAAAATAGACTTTTGGCATGAATTGCAAAAAGATTTTTTGAATTGTAAAAAATGGTCTTTTGGCGAATTGTAAAAAAAAGACTTTTGACATTATCATTTAAATTGTAAAAAATAAACTTTTGGCATGAATTGTAAAAAAAGACTTTTGACATTATCCTAATAAATCATTTAAATTGTAAAAAATAGACTTTTGGCATGATTTTTGAATTGTAAAAAATGGTCTTTGGCGAATTGTAAAAAAAGATTTTTGAAATTATCTTAACAGATCATTTAAATAAAAAAAAAATAGACTTTTGGCGTGAATTGTAAAAAGATTTTTTGAATTGTAAAAAAATGGTCTTTTGGCAAATTGTAAAAAAAGATTTTTGAAATTATCTTAATGGCGCGGGATTATCTTACAATACAAGCAACCAATGTTCCATCAGAACGTGCTTTCTCAGTTGCTGGAAATACAATCAGTAAGGTGCGGAATTGCTTATTGCCAGAAACTGCAAGAGCATGAAGAGTTGGATAATCAATAAAGTAGGGGTTTAGAGTGCTAGAATAATATTCTCGAAATTACTTATATATTTTTTTCCTTATACTTTCTTTATGTTTTTTTGTAATTCTATACTAATTACTAATAAAAAATCATTAATGTTTGTTTTATTTTATGCACTTTTTTTTTGTATATTAATATCTATCATATTCATTCATTGTTTGTCCGTTTATTCGTTATTTACATAATAATAATAATAATAATAATATTTAATTTAATTTATTTGAATATTAATAAGTCACGTTATTCGTATTAATCATTCCTTTTAAGGAAAGATTAACTCAGGATTTCCTCATATAGGTATAAATCACATGGTGAACGGTTAGAACTCGGTTCTGGAACCGGTTCGCAGTTCTGTGTTCGGTTCGGTTCAGAACCAGTTCCCTAGTGGAACCGCCCCATCCCTAATTGGTTGGCGCTTCTGAAATCGATATACAATTCATTATATCGAATGATCTCAATACAAAAAGAAAGTCACACGCATGGTTCAAATGTAAAATTTGAATTTATCGATTTACGGTTAACTTTTATATAAGCTTATTTATAATTCCATTTCTAATAAATAATATTTTTATTTTATAGAATTAACCAGTACTTTTATGACTGCCTCTGAAATTCAAATTACTCCTGATAATGGTAACAACTGTGATAACATTTCCACCACTGCCAATTTATCTAATGGCCAGTTCATTGCAATTTACGTACCTGATCTTGAAAAAGCACAAATACTTCTTGGAAACAACACCAGTTCAGATTTATCAGCTCCGCAATCACTTTTCTATCTTGCGTTGTTAGGCGAACTACGACAAATTCCTAATTTTAACATTAGTAATGCGGAGTTGACAAAAGTTTTTACGAATTCATGGAGAAATTCCAGTATTGAATTCACAGTCAAATTTATTATTTTGGCAGACAAACTTGAACTCGATTAAACATCCAATTCGAAATTGGAAATCAATTAATTTTTTGGCAAACAAATTTTTTTAATCGTAATAATTATATTATATTTAATTTATGATAATATTTTCTTATGATTTTTTTTAAATTTTTCTTTATTTTTTTTTTATATTAACTTAAAAATAAATTTAAATATATAATTAGTATTATAAAACTTTTAAAACGGTTCGTTCATATTAATATATAGACTTACCACACATTAAAATATTTTACAAAAAGATTGA